GGGGGGGGGGGGGGGGGGGGGGTACTGAGAGTTGGAAGGAGGAGATAGATTTTAGAGAGTGGGAGGTGTGGAGATGTTTAGGAGGTCAGTTAGGTATAGAGGGGCAAGATTGTGGATAGCTTTGAAAGTGTGTAGGAGAATTTTGAAGATGACGTGGAATTTAACTGGGAGCCAGTGGAGCTGTTGTAGGACTGGAGTGATGTGGGGTTTAACTGGGAGCCAGTGGAGCTGTTGTAGGACTGGAGTGATGTGGGCAAAGGATGAGGTTTGGGTGATTACATGGGCGGCTGAGCTCTGAACCATCTGTAGTTTGTGAAGAGATTTATTGGGSAGGCCAAACAGTAGTGAGTTGCTGCAGTCGATCCTGGACATTTGTAGGCTGTGTACAAGAATGGCAGTTGAGCGGGGAGTGAGTGAAGGACGGAGACAGTCAATATTACAAAAATGAAAGTATGCAGATCGAGTCAAGTGGGAAGTTAAAGAAAGTGTGGTGTCAAGGATGACACCTATGTTCTTGACCTGAAGCGAGAGGAAAAAACAGAGTTATTGAGTGGGAGGAGAAGATGTTGAGATTTAAAAATTGAGTTTTTTGTCCCAACAAGGAGGAGTTCAGTTTTGTCATGGTTTAGTTGGAGGAAATTGTTGGAGAACCAGTTATTGAGCTCACTGAGGCAGTCTGTAAGAGTGGAGGATGGTAATGTGGAGTTCGGTTTTGTAGAGATGTAAAGCTGARATTGTCATAGGAGTGGAAATGGATACCAAATTTCTGGAAGATGTGGCCAARTGGAAGCARATAAATAATGAAAAGTAGAGCCCCGAGTAMAKAACCTWGGGGAACACCGGTGGAGATGGGGGAAGATGGGAGCGGAAGGACTTGAGCTGYATGAACTGAGTGCGGTTGGAAAGATAGGATTTAAACCAGTCCAGAGGGGTGTCTGAGATGCCGATAGAGATTAGTCGGTCARTGATAATAGGATGAGAGATGGTGTCAAAAGCAGAGCTCATATCAAGGAGGATKAGGATTGACAGAAGTCCKGAGTCAGCAGCAAGGAGAAGATCATTAGTAATTTTAATCAGAGCAGTTTCTGTGCTATGAAGTGGTCGAAAACCTGATTGAAACTGTTCATWGAGGTTATTGCTGGAGAGGTGTGAGTGAAGCTGATYAGYGATGAGYRACTGATCTCATTTTATTTCACACCATCTCATTTCCTTTATTTCATWTAACTTTCTTTAATCTTATCTTGTCTCATACATACAAGGTACACCTAATGCCTATTTTTAAGTGGCTATGTGTTGTATTTGTTGTGGGTGTTTATCAGTAATGGAGCACTCTGTCAGTGCGGAGGAGGGAAGGATGTTCATGACTCTGTGGCAACAGAAGATTCTTTCGGAGCAGCCATGGTTCCACAGTGGGACAGCATGCAGCACTCATGTGAACTTCCTACTGATGCYTTTGGAGAGCTAGAGTTTGCTGGACATGGCCGCAGACACAGTCATGTGAGTAACACTTCATCATCATACAATCACACAAACAGGAAGATAAGTGTGCTTAACCTACTGAACCTGCAGAGACTGGGAACAACTCCTCCTCTGCTCTTAGTGTTAAATGAGTGTGGATGGTTGTTCAGGAGAAACAGTCTGACTGTTTTCCTGTTGAAATGTTAGGATGCTACAAATRTTAGAATTTCAGAATCAGAATTTCAGAATCATTTATTGTCATTCACACACAACATCAAGATGCAGTGCAGAGCGAAATTTGCAGTTTAGAACATCCATCCAGAGAAACACACACACATGACAAACAAGGGGAAACGAATGTCCACGGTCTTGCGCACTACGGTGCGCTACCTTTTGCAGTTTAGARTACACACACAATAGGAAAGGTGAGTTTAAAAAAAGAGCTCTGATCCTGTGTTTTATACAGAAACACACAAACATGTGCTAAAAAAAACTACTCTGCATACAGAGCAAGACAGCTAAGGAGGGGAGGGTGCGGGGGTCAGAACACATGGTACGGGGTGGGGTTCGGCAGAGCCGGTGACATTCCAGGATAGTACTCCGTGGTGGAACCAATCAGAGGCCTCCAGAGTCCAAACAAGTTGTTATCAGTCAAAGCACAAAATCACCAGAGTCAGTTCTCTGTATCCACCCAACGYRGCCTTCAGACTGATCTGACCACGGGTGAAGCGGGTAGAATGGGTGGGAGTCGAAGCTTTCTTCTCACATGTTATTCCAGGGAGGTTTTGCTAGCTTGCGTCCAAGGTCACAAGCTGCAGGGATCCAATGATAAACATAATTGTTATTTAGGGCCAAGCAGCCTGATTTCTCTGCTTTGTATCTTAACCGCGCCTCTGTGTTGCGAAAATGCCAATATTCCAAATACAGTTAACTCCTCGCCTCTCTCTGCATGAAATTTCACCTAGTTGTGATCTCACTCCTCACGGGCGCGCTGCTGAACTGTGATTCTCATCAGAATCACATCCAGTTTGTTACTTATATCCCCCAGCATCTGAGTCTGTGCATTTCCAATACGGGAGATCCCATCCACAGTCCCTGACAGCTTTTGACATTCCCGGACTGCTGTCAGGATCGTTTTCATTTTCCGATAAATCAGGACTCCCCCACCGCCGATCAGCAGGAATCCGATCATCATGAATCCAAATATAAACAAATCTTCAACGTCCTCAATGGAAAGCGGGGCCAGGCAGATGAGATTCCACCCCCAGGACCCAGAAACTCTGCCCGCCACAACAGTTCCACTGGGACAGCTGCGCTCCCCTCATTCCAATTTCAGTGTGGAAAAAATAGTGCCGATTGCGTTCAGAGACCAAT